CTGAGAGCGGGGCATTCTGATTGTTATTTATTCTGTGGTTATATGGAGTACGTCGAAATTAGCTCGTTATATGTGAGACAAATTTGGGGTTAAATGTGGCGAATAACGTAAAGATGTTTATGTGGCTTTCTTCGATTATGAAAAGGCTCTTGATAAGCTTCTGCATGGAACGCTTTAACATATTTACAACCAAAAGGCATCGATGGTAGAGACCTACCTATTATAGAAAAGCTGTATTGGAAACAGTCGTACAAGACGTTGAATGTTATATTCAAATAGGCATTCTATCCCCGCTGTTACTTAATATATACAGTGGAACAGGAATCTCGTGAGAGAGCGGAGCTTCCAGTGCGCAAAGAGAGAAAGTGGGCCAGAATAAGGTTGGAATTTCCCCGAACATTACAAATTACCGCTTGATATTAAAAATTTTGCAATCTTGTCAATTTGTGGATAATCACAGTAATATTGGGTATTTTTAGTATAAGAGCTTCTTCTTCTAATGGCGCTACAACCCTTTGTGAGTCTTGGCCTGCTTAACAATGTTCTTCCTTCCATTCTGCCCTGTCGGATACTTTCCTTCGCCACTGCCTGATATTTATGGTTTTAAGATCCCTCTCTACGTCGTAAGTATGATTCCTACTTTCCAATCTTCTGGGATGACTTCTAGTGTCCATATGCGGTCGATTAGTTTATGGATACGCCTCCATAGCGCATGTCCACCATTCTTTATTAGTCCTGCAGTTGTTCTATCTGTGCCAGGTGCTTTGTTATTTTTTAGATGTTTTATGTTTATCGTTTCTTCCAATGTTGGTTGCCCAATTAGTTGTTCTGCTGTGTGGTTAATTATTTCTTCTTCTTTATTTTGTTCTTTTTCTGGGTTTAACAGCTCTTGAAAATGCTCCTTCCACCTTTTCATCATTTCCTCTCTCTCTCTCTCTCTCTCGCTGATAATTGCCCCATTTTTGTCATTGCAAACAGTTGATTTTGTCATGTATCTTTGGGTGTATTGCTTGGTTTCCTTGTAAAATTTTCTAGTCTCTCTTTTGTTATTATATTCTGTAATTTGTTGTATTTTTATATTCAACATTTCTCTCATTTTCCTTCTACATATTTTCTTTGCATCTTTGCTCGAGTTCTTCATATGCCCTTATATTCAATCGCGAATCCCTTTGTAGACATTTCTGTCTGGCTATATTTTTGCTATTTATTACTTGTTGGTAATCTTGGTCCAACCATTCCTCGTTTCTTTTGCTTGAGGCTTCAACTAATGTCCTTTGCTATATTTGTAATTGTCGTTTGGATGACATTCCATTCTTCTTCAATGTTGTTTTGTTCTCCTCTTTCATTTAATTCATTCTTACTTTTATTTTCTGTTGGTACTCGGAAAATAAAATTCTTTTTAGGATTTTTAAACATATATGTGTTCCATTTTCTTTGTTTAGGCCTTTCTCTTTTCCTACCATTGATATTCTTTGTTTTATTTTCGATATAACCAAGAAATGGTCCAAATCGCAATTTGCGCCTCTATAAGTTCTAAAATCCGTTACGAAGGTTGCCCACCGCTTAGATATTAATATGTGATCGATGTAATTAAATTTATTCGGGTAGTATCCAGGTTCCTTTATGAATATTTTTATGAGGAAAACACGTACTAGTAAAAATACATTTTTATTAAGATATCTAAAAAAATTACCTTCAAATAATTGATACAACTTAATAACTAAAAGAATAAGGGAATAATTTTTTACCAGGTATGATATACAGTTTGTCCCAAACATTTTAAGATCGGCATAGAAGGATAACAAAAATAACGATATGAATAAAATATAATATTTACCAAACAACAAATAATTATGTCATAACAATACAATTAAGAGACTTTCATTTTAAAAGATCCTACTTGGCAAACTTCATTGTGCCATTAGTATTATTTCAAAATAAATATTTAAATAAGGAATAATTATATGATTCTTACTATCATTTTACTTTAATATGAAAGTAACACATTCAAAGACGCACAGACAAAGCAATTGAACACAAACAGTCGATACTAAATATATCGTATAACAACGATAAGTTAAACACTGAGATTGTAAAAACTGTTTGTATGTTTTACATAGGTAACATTTTTGCCTATTGACCATTTACATAAAATATGTAATTCCCACTAAGATATTAAGAGGCTACATCAGCGCGTCATCAAGACGGAAAACGCGTTACAAGATTGCAGCTTTAATTTTAAATATTTTGACGAGATATTTGGCACACATATGTGATATAGTAAAGAATGGCGGTACGAAGCCCAATTTGAGAAATATGTTATTAAGTGGAAATTACTCTATAACTAAATAAAATATTACAAAAACGAGTTTTTACCGCCATTAAGAAAAACAAAAAAATACAGTTTCTTCAAATAAACTTTTTTATCCCAAGCCTAGATTTTGTGTCACATTGGAATTACTAAAATCAACCAAAAGCAATTAACTATAACAAGAAATCGAACTTAGCTGAGTGGGTTGGCAACATAGAGAAATAGTCACCGCTATCACATTTGCACTTCTACGTCTGTTTCATAGAGAAATACATAGAGAAATAACAATAAGTTATTTGTTATTTCTCTATGGTCTGTTTTCTGTGTACCATAGAGAAATAACAAATAAGCTGTGTACTGCTCTGTTATCTGTATCGATATCTGTTCATTCAGTAGTGTATTATTTTCAAGATATTGAAATTCGAGTTTTGATTCATAGTGAAGTACTGTTTGTTTAAAATTAATTTATTATATTTGGATAATAGAACTGAGTTGTCGGACTATTTGAAAAAAATAGATTATTATTAATTGTGGGTTTTAAAAGTCTATTTTACGTAAAAATATTTCAAATTCTAATGCGAGTATATAGTCTTAGGAGGATTTTTTTTATTCTAGAAATATAAGTATTTTTGAAAATGGGAAAAATTTCATAAGCGAATATTAAAGTCACGCCTTCCAAGAAAAGGTCCAGTAAAAACCGTGCTAAAACGATTCGAAAATCGAAATTAGAACCACCACAAATTTTAATAATGTAAGTGTAAGTATAAGCAATCTACTATTGTCATAAATAAAAGGTGTGAAAAGTTGTTTCCCATGAAAATGAAATTGGTAATAAATCTGTATTTAGGTACAGAAATCCTCACTAAAGTACAAATGCCAATTTTTTCAGGCAGATAGATATTTTCATTGGCGACAATATTTCCGAACTTATATTTTTGCTATACGTCAGAATTGATGCTATGAATCAATCTGTAGTTCATTTCTAACGGCTAAACTGTTTGATATATACGTTAAAACTTATAAGTAGAGCTCGGATCGAGCGAGCTATTTTCAGGGTAGTATTTCCTTTACAGGTACTTTATTCGTTTAGATGTATACAATATTAATTAATACAGAATGCAGTTGAATTAATGCATTTCATCTGCAGCAGTTGAAGTGGCGGTATTGGGTCATTGACAACTGGATAATCGACAGTCTATCAGAGAACTACGTCGTGCATCTGGTCTATGAGCATCTAGTGTTTATCGAATTATAAAATACTATAAATTTTATCCTTATAAAATAAGAGTACTTTAACGATGAAACGATGATGATCCTGATCATCGATGTCAAATTTGTGAAGAACTTAGTGAAATCATAAAAACAACCAACATCGATTGTACGCGTTTTTCCAACGAGTGTACTTTTATGTTAGATGTTGAAGACAATAGACATAATTGTCGTTATTTGAGTAACAGTAATCCTCATTTATTCATTGAGACACATCCGCTGCTCACTGACACATTGAAACCTAATGATAATCTTGTAAACTATATAATGACTTCCTAACAGGACAAGGCATCCCCACATTATGATATACGCGTAAGACAATTTTTAAATCAACAACGTTTTTCAGGGCTTTGGATTGGCAGAAGGGGTCCAATGGAGTAGTCGGCCAGATATCCGGATCTGTTGCCTTTCACCTAATATCAAAAATATGACACTCCGTCTGTAGATCTTACCGAGTTCCGACAAAGGATTGTGACAGAATGCCGATTATTTAGACCGGAGGTATTTGCAAATGTACGAAGGGGCTTTGAAAATATACTGTTTTATTGTATGGAGGTCATTTCGAACATTAAATTGGTTAATTTGATGAAATTGACTGTTTTTTGTTATTACTTATGTTCAACCAATAAATTAGCAAAAATTATCTTCAGTTATTTCGTAAATTATTTAATTTTGACAAAATCTTGGTTTCTGAGTTTCTGGGACGGCCAAATTTTCGTTGAAACACACTGTATATTATTATTAAATTTATGATAGACTTACTAATTCTTAAGCTAAGATGATTTATACAAATTTTCGTAAAAAAGGTTTGTTAAAATTTATATGCTTATATTTATGATTTTTTATATAATAAATAAATAATAAAATATTTTCATAAAATCGTTAAGCTTTTTGTGCGTTTCTTTATCCTTTTGTTTGTTTTGTTTCTTTATAATTTCTCGAATTAATATTGATGATGTGCTGATGTAGCCTCTTAAATATTACTAGATCATTTAATTTTTAACTATCAACAAAAATGTAATATATGATGACAAGTATGAATTTGATGGTAATGCAATTTTCGCCGCAGTACATATTTCTTAGTCGATAAGAGTGTTTAGATAACATGACTCATTTTCAATATGTGTGGACAGATCCTTATTGTCCTAATAACAATTTTGTTCTGACAAATCAATAACTTAAATTATTTGGTAAGCCTACATTATGTCACAAAATATAAATAAAAATCATTACAACTTGTTTGTTAATAAATTCTGAGAATCTGTGAATTGTACTTTCGGAAACACCTGTCGCTGCTGCCACACGCTCTTTTATGCGATGATGAGGTATGGTGTTAACATTCTTCAGCTTCCTTTTTCATAAAGGCTAACACATTAGCAATTATTTCTCGACATGCTATAATATTAAATAACACTAATTTAGGTATATCTACTTTTTTATTTTACAATTATTTCCTCACTTTTACAGTTCTTAATTTTAACAGTGTTCTTAAAAGAACTTTTGCATAAAATAGATAAAACTAAAATAATTAAAAGAATACAAAAATACAAAACGTAAAATCACAACAAAATCAAATTTATTTGTTTCATATTAAATACTGGAAGAGAAAACTGCTTAAAACAAATTTCAAACTTCTAAGATTTTTCTCCAGCGTGCACTCTCAAATGTCTTTTTAAATGACCTGCTTGACTAAATTGCTTAAAACAAGTTTCACACTTAATAAAGTGTTTCTTTAGTGTGCACTTGTGTGTTTTCAATGAACCTGCCTGAGAAAACTGTTTAAAACAAATTTCACACTCATAAGATTTTTCTCCAGAGTGCACTCTCAAATGTACTTTCAAATGCTCTGCTCGACTAAATTGTTTAAAACAAATTTCACACTTATAAGATTTTTCTCCAGTGTGCACTCTCAAATGTACTTTCAAATGTTCTGCTCGACTAAATTGCTTAAAACAAATTTCACACTTATAAGATTTTTCTCCAGTGTGCACTCTCAAATGTACTTTTAAATTTTCTGCTCGACTAAATTGCTTAAAGCAAATTTCACACTTATAAGATTTTTCTCCAGTGTGCACTCTCAAATGTCTTTTCAAATGACCTGTTTGACTAAATTGCTTAAAACAAATTTCACACTCATAAGGTTTTTCTCCAGTATGTGTTACCAAATGGCTTTTCCAACTACTTCTAGTAATAAACCGTTTTAAACAAATTTCACATGTGTAAGGTAGTTCCCCAGTATGCACTCTCAAATGTGTTTTTAATGTACCTGCTTCACTAAATTGTTTTAAACAAATTTCACACGTATAAGGTTTTTCTCCAGTATGAGTTCTCAAATGTCTTTTCAAGTCACTTGTAGTATTAAACTGATTAAAACACATTTCACATTTGTAAGGTTTTTTCCCAGAATGTACTCTCAAATGTGTTTTTAAATAACATTTGTAAGAAAACTGTTTAAAACAAATTTCGCACTTGTAAGGTCTTTGTCCAGCCGCAATTTTCATCGTTTTATTTAATGTCTTTCCTTCAGAGTGTTCACTCATATAATTTTCTTCGTAAGATGAATCTCCAATAATAAGTGTCTCCATATTTTCCATTTTTTGTTCATCTTGGATATAACCTAAAATACAAACGACATGATATAAATATTTTTGAGTATACGAGAAAATTAATGCAATAATTAAATTAGAGCATTATAAAGTTTAAGATAGCAGAAGTAGTAAATGATATAAATATGTTTTAGAAATCTATGTTTATGTTTTCAGTATGTGTAAGGGTATCACCAAATCGTGGATGTAAGATTAAAAATGAGTGCTAATTTTCATCGTCGAGGGTGGTTTAAAATTCCATCACAGTTATCCATCTAACACTGTATAATCCATTTCCAGTTGTTCTATATTATACCATTTTCCATACATAAATTAGGTCACAAAAAATAAATAAAAATGTCACTGCTGCCACACGCATTGTGCCACCTTCTTTAGCTTTCCTATTCATAAAGGATAACACATTAGCAAATATTTCTCAAATTTGACTATCAGCCCGTCCGGATAATTTACTCCATGCTATATTAAATAACCCTAATTTAGGTAGATCTGTTATGGCGAGCACGCCACTGTGTGTGTTTTTATCTCAATATTTAGACTACATCGGAGATGATAAACACCCATGCTGATAATTTCGAGGAGTCAGCGATATGTTCAAGGACTATGAGAGGTTTTAAGAAATAGTTTGTATTCATTAAGTCAGTATCGTTTTATACCATAAGCAGTAAACAACTAAATAAACTTGTGCATTTCATTCAGAGTTTCGTTACTTAAGTCCCCCACGAACACACATTATTTCATACAGAATAAAAGTAGGGTAGTTAGTAGAATTTCCAATTAGAAAAAGTAAAGCCTTTTTTAATCGATTTTGATCGTTAATTGGGAAATTGGAGAATTAGTGACATATATCCTGAATTCAATATGATTGTCAGGGCAGACATTCTGTATTAATTACTATTTAACTAGGAATAAGCCATTAAAGGTAAAAATACGTTTATTGGCGTTTCAATTTCCACTTCGGAAATCGTTCTCAAAATACAAACAGTAAATTAAACAAATTTTGTTTTTTGTTACTTAGTGAAAAATTCTTCTAATAATTTAATTTTATCTGACTCATTTATAGGAGTTGTCGACGGTTGAAGCCATCACCAACGACTGCCTGCCGAAAAGGTGAAATAATCAACTGGCTCTCTCAAAAAAATATACCATTCGATGACAACATGTTTGGAACGCAAAAAAGTGCTCTTTCACCAAGACAATGCATCGGCTCACCGATCGGCCGTCGCCATGACAAAATTACACGAATTGGGTTATGAATTGGTTGAACACCCACCGTATTCACCAGATCTTGCCGCTAGCGATTTTTTCCTGTTTCCAAACCAAAAAAATTGCTCGGAGGCGCCGTTTCGCAACAAATGATGAAGTCGTCGCTGAAACTTCGGTCTATTTGGAAGAACTCGAGCAAAAGTACTATTTGGATGGAATAAAAAAATTGAAACATCGTCTTACTAAGTGCATCGAGCTAAAATAGGACTATGTTGAGAAATAAATCGATTTAATTCCAAAAAATTTGTTTTTTCTATCAAAGGCTAGTTTTTTATCAATCCACCCTCGTATAAAGTGGTTTAACTTAGGTCTACATTAAATATTCTTTTTATTGTTCTGATCTTATTTTTAGGAGATGAACTAATAACTTTTAAAAAAACATTAGAGAAACAAAATAAAATATTTGATGATTTTGAGCAAAATAAAATTGAAGAAGCTTTTTGTACCGACGTTTTGGAGTATATTCCTTCACCAATTGGTATATTTATTGTTTAGTTAGTTGTAAGTTTTTTAATTATTAACATAATCATCAGAAAGTTCTACTCTACATCAGAGTCATTCCGGTTTGGGTGATTACCTTCGGCGGAACAATAATAAATCGACATCGCTATTTATAGTCAGTTTAATTTTAAACGACTTATTAGGGCAAGTCGTAAGTATTAGCTTAAAAAGTATAAGACGGGGACGAAAACGTAAAGCTAATAGAACGGAATGGAAAGATGTAATTCATAACAAAAAAAAAAACAAAAGAGAACAATTTATAAATAAAAAAGGTAAAGTTGTAAAGCAACGACAAATAAAAGGTGTTTGTATGGACAAATGTATCCGAAAGTGCCAAGAAAAACTGAATATTACAACAAGATAACAACTTTTTAAAGAGTTTTGGAAAATGGAAGATCACAACCTTCAGACAGAATATATGTCTTTTAGTTACTAGACACACAAGAATTCGTATTTTAAATACTACCATTGAATCTCGAAGGAAGTGGACATTTCAGTATAAATTGCTTATAAATGATAGCCACATTGTGGTATGTAAAAAAATGTTTCTTGATACGTTTGATATAACTGATAGTTGGGTGATGACAATGTCTAAAAAGATGTCGGAGAGTGAAGTTGGTATAATTGTTGAAGATATGCGTGGAAAACACACCACTCGGACACAATAAGTAGCAGAAGAAATAAAAGAGACTGTTCGAAAACATATATCGTCTATTTAAGTAGTAGAGTCGGATTACCAAAAAAAAAAAACAAAATTATATTTTGAAGAGAAACTAAATACTTATATCTAAACTTTTTTATTTGTATATTTACCATCGAGTTTTTTAAACCAAAACAAACCGGTGTGTCTTCTATCATGTTTATCGAAGTGCACGTGAAGACTAAAAAGCAGAGATGGACCTGAAGTACACTAACCATATTGCTAATAGGACTGTTGTAAGACAACTTAAGGAAAGGGATAAAGAGATCGCTAAAAATTCAATGGCAACTATAGTTGCTTGTTACGACATGCAGAAAGTTCTCACCACACCTCAGTCTGAGCTGTCAATGTTTTACTATAAACGAAAATAATGCTTTTATAATTTTACAATATTTGACATAGGACGCAATGAAGGATTTTGCTACATGTGGGATGAAACTAAAGGAAGGAAGGGAGCTAACGAAATAAGTAGAGCAGTGTTTATAATTTCATTGCAACTAATGTTTTAAAAGGATATAAAAATTTTAAATTTTATAGTGATATTTAATAATATTTGCGATGTATTCTTTTTCCGTTGAAAAATTTTCTATAAACATAACGCACAATTGTTTTGAGGTAAGTCATTCCCAAAATGAGGGAGATTCCATGCACGCCTTAATAGAGCGACTTAAAAAGAACCAAATAATTTTTATTCCTGAACAATGGATAAGCTTAGTAAGATGTGCAAAAACAACAGGTAAACCGTATTTGGTAACTGAACTGCACAAAGACAATAAATTGATTTTAAAAAACTTACGACAACTTTTCCAAATTGGTATATAATTGAAGAAAATTAAAAAATCGTCTGGAACATGGTGAAACATATAAACATTTCTGAAACAAATCCTGGCGCGGTGAATATTCAATATGATTTCATATCCGATAACAAAAATAAGTTAAACTTGCTACAGAAACCTATCTCCAGGAAACAAAAAAGGTTAGCAACTTCTAGTAAAGATCTTTCTAAGAATCTACATCTACCATATTCATCTTATCTAAAGATAACAAAAGCAAAATATGATGATATGCAGAGTTTATGTCATAGCCAGTGCCTTCTTATAACTTACCACGATTATTTTAAAAATCTCCCAGTTGATTGCAAAAACATTAATCAAGACAGCGATATGGAAGACTAGACATAAAATAAATATGTTCATTGTAAGTTTAATTCGAATTTATATTTAGTTTGTAATACAATTTGCATTTTAAAAACTATCTACTGTTATTATTCCTTAACCTACAACAAGCAATAATTTGAAATTCATATTAAATTTTCCAATGAGAACATCTTAAGTGCAGTTATAAGATTATTTGATGAAACTTTATATTTATACCAAAAACTGTAACTGCCACAGTTCAAAAACCTAATCTCTAATAAAAAAAAGTAGACCTTATTCTAAAAGAGGAGTTTAACATTTATATAATTACTTACTTCTTAATATTGTTCTGAAGCTATTTTCTTGTGGCATTGTAAATTAATTACTATTTAACTGGGAATAAGCCACAATTAAAGATAAAAATACGTTTATTGACGTTTCAATTTCCACTTCGGAAATCGTTCTCAAAATACAAACAGTAAATTAAACAAATTTTATGAGAAAATGAGCGAGAGCGAGAAAATTATGAGATATTTTAACATCTTTTATCAACGTCTGTTTGCCTTGCAATTCTTAGAAGGCTCAGATTATAAAGCAGAAATCTGAATTGTGTTTCGAAACTATTTTACGATTAAACAAATTTTGTTTTTTGTTACCTAGTGAAAAATTCTTCTAATAATTTAATTTTATCTGACTCATTTATATTGACAATTCAGACATACATTATACATTTTAAAGTAGACGACTTTAAAATGATACTGCCAATATTGTTGAGTTGCGCTCCTGGGACGACTTTACTTATAAGATAGTTCATTCAATTACATGAAATCAACTTTAACTTGAGGATATCCGTCAGAAAAAAATCATAGCATGTAATTCGTCTTTAAAAAGACAAACACATGACATGATGACAGTAAAATTCTCCTGTTAGTGATTCCATAGTAAATTATGAGGGAAAAACCAGGAAAAAAAACCTCATAATACTATCTCGACATTGTAAGTATTTGTTCGTGAATTTAGTTTACCTTCAACAAACATCAGAATTCTGATTTTATATGTTACGTTATTTAAAAAACATAAATGATGTATCCTCTATATGTTACTCACTTACTAATACTGGTATTTTCTTATTAATAACTTCCTCTTTCAATATTGGTAACCAGATCCTACTACATTCTGCCGAGGAATTTGCGACACAATTGGCCTCATTTAGCATAATTAGAGCCGCTTCTTTGATTTTTCTTTTTTTACCATCCGTTTCTTTTAGGACTACATTTGAATTATTCCATTGAACCCTATGTTCATTATCCCATGCGTGTTTACATATTTAAGATCTATCAAATTCTCTATTTTTAATATAAGATTGATGTTCACTTATTCTAACATTTAATGGCCTTGATGATTCACCTAAATAAAACTGATCGCATTAACAAGGTATTTTATAAATGCAATTCTTTGTCCTTTCTTGTTTATTGTTAGGTTTGGTTTTGGACAAAATAGATCTCAACGTGTTGATAGATATTTAAATTTCAAATCAAATCACAATACTAATGTAAAAAAGGGAATAATTAAATCCTTATATGATAGAGCCAAAATTACTTGTTCTAACGAAAATTCGTTCTTGGAGGAGAAACGTTTGTTAACATCTGTTTTATTAAAAAATGATTATCCTTTATCGTTTATAAATAAGGAATTTTCAACAATCGATCGAATAGAACAGAACAACTTAGAACGAGATCCTACAGCATACACAAGGAATAATATGAGGAAAATATCAATACCGTACATAAAAGGATTATCAGAAAATCTTAAAAGGATAGGAAATAAATTCAACATTTCAACAACATTCAAAACAACAAACACGTTGAGATCTATTTTGTCCAAAACCAAACCTAACAATGAACAAGAAAGGACAAAGAATTGCATTTATAAAATACCTTGTGAATGCGATCAGTTTTATTTAGGTGAATCATCAAGGCCATTAAATGTTAGAATAAGTGAACATCAATCTTATATTAAAAATAGAGAATTTGATAGAACTCAAATATGTAAACACGCATGGGATAATGAACATAGGGTTCAATGGAATAATCCAAATGTAGTCCTAAAAGAAACGGATGTTAAAAAAAGAAAAATCAAAGAAGCGGCTCTAATTATGCTAAATGAGGAAAATTGTGTCGCAAATTCCTCGGCAGAATGTAGTAGGATCTGGTTACCAATATTGAAAGAGGAAGTTATTAATAAGAAAAAACCAGTATTAGTAAGTCAGTAACATATAGAGGATACATCATTTATGTTTTTTAAATAACGTAACATATAAAATCAGAATTTTGATGTTTGTTGAAGGTAAACTAAATTCACGAACAAATACTTACAATGTCGGGATAGTATTATGAGGTTTTTTTTTCCTGGTTTTTTCCTCATAATTTACTATGGAACCACTAACAGGAGAATTTTACTGTCATCATGTCATGTGTTTGTCTTTTTAAAGGCGAATTACATGCTATGATTTTTTTTCTGACGGATATTCTCAAGTTAAAGTTGATTTCATGTAATCGAATAAATTATCTTATAAGTAAAGTCGTCCCAGGAGCGCAACTCAACAATATTGGCAGTATCATTTTAAAGTTGTCTACTTTAAAATGCATAATGTATGTCTGAATTGTCAATATAAATGAGTCAGATAAAATTAAATTATTAGAAGAATTTTTCACTATGTAACAAAAAACAAAATTTGTTTAATTTACTGTTTGTATTTTGAGAACGATTTCCGAAGTGGAAATTGAAACGTCAATAAACATATTTTTATCTTCAATTGTGGCTTATTCCCAGTTAAATAGTAATTTACTTACTTCTTACACTAAGGAAATGTCACATACTTATGTCAGATACATATAAAAAAAGAAATCAAAGAAATTGGTATCTTTTTTTATCATTTCTGAAGAATATCACAAATGCTGGTTACAACGTTATTCTATGCAGGGGTCAATATAGTTGTGAGACATGGGTGCTTTCTAACCCAGATGAAAATAGGCTATTAATATTCAAGAAGAAAGTCCTGAGGAAAATATTAGATCCAATAAATGAAAATTGAACCTGATGTCATCAATATAACTTTTAACTATACATAAGTATAAAGAATCAGCTTAAGCCAGAGATATAGTGACTGCAATAAGAATTAGATGTCTGCAGTAGGCAGGACATCTAGCCAGAGCAAATGAAGGCTATCCTACATGACATTATAATGGCAAAGCCGAAGAAACTAGACAAAGAGGTAGTCAAGGTTGGGATGGAGGGATGGTGTAGATGAGGATGCCAGGAAGGTCAGAGTTGTCCACTGGGATCAAGCTGCAGGGTCAATCCATGCCAAGTGGTCTAAAGGTGAATGCTTGACTATTTTTATTATTTTTTATTTTTCTACCTTTTATACATCAGTCTATAGACAGTACACAATTGCATTCATTTTATTTTGCCAATGGCGGCCATTTTTGTTTCATAGTGTCATTTTTACGGAAAACACGGCTTCACTCTTTAGCAAATATTTTCACTTAGGCTTGTCCTAAAACAATAAATCAAAAACCAAACTGTTTGGAAAAGTATGCTCTAAAAAAAATGGTCCATAGTATTATTTAATTACAAACTACCCTTAATGCCTCAAATGAATCTCAAAGTTTGAAAAGGTAAACTGATCAAATTTCATTTTCAGCATTTTTTTTAACAACATAAGGCAAGCAAGTAATGGTTTGTATTTTTTTTTTCTGAAAAAGATATACATACATACTTTAAGTCAATTTTTTCAAAAAAAAAACTCAAAAATTTAATTTTTTGAAAAATTTCAAAGTTTGACCCCTTAAGTATATATCTGAGGAGCAAGCAAGTAAAAATTTGAAATTTGGCTAAATGTTAGTTCCTAACGAGTAGAATAAGGGGTAAAAATTTGAAGTAGTAGACTTAAGGCATATAGGAGTTAAGGCCTGAGAAAATGGTCAAAAATGGTTAATTTGAGTGTTTGCAAACACAGTTATTAAAATTCAAATAAACTATCTAATGAAATAAAAATTAATTTGTTTGCACCAAATTTCACAATGAATACAAGTTTGTACTATTTTATGAAATATATGATTTTTGTTATAAACAAAATCAACACTCAAATATACATAAAAACTTTTGAACCTTCTGGACCCAGAACATCATTTAAGTTAAGTGCTTATGATGAAGCTTGGGTGTCTTTTCATAAAATCTTGAAGAAAATCACACCCTGAGAACTAAAAACAACAACTAGACACAATCATAATATATCTCAAGATTTATGTGATAAAATATCCCAACTTCTGAACTGTCAAAATTCTAAATGAAGATTAATATTTCTATAATGTACTTAGTATGAATTTGTATTTATTGTGAAATTTGGTGAAAATACATTATTAATTTTAAATGTTAAAACTAACATTCAGTAAAATTTCAAATTTTTACTTGCTTGTCCATTAGAGATATAAGGGGCCAAAAATTACATTTTTGAGATTTTTTTTGAAAAAATTGAAGTCTTAAAGCTCAAACTTTTTTCATTTTAAGTATGTATGTATTTTCCAGAAAAAAATTACAAACCATTATCAGCTTGCCTTATGTTGTTAAAAAGAATCTGAAAACTAAATTTTATCAGTTTACCTTTTCCAACTTTGAGGTCTATTTAAGGTCTTAAGGGTAGTTTGTAATTAAATAAAGCAATGGATCACTTTTTTAGAGCATACCTTTATACCAACAGTTTGGTTTTTGATCTATTGTTCTAGGACAAATCTGAGTCAAAATATTGGCTAAAGAATAAAGCCCTGTTTTCTGTGAAAATGATCAACACTATGAAATAAAAATCAGCAAAATAAATTTTTAAAAAATAAAAATACTTAATGCAATTCTGTATACTCTATAAATTAAAGTTTAATTGGTAGAAAAATAAAAAATATATCAAATAGTCAAGCAACCAACTTAATTTATATTGGACCACTTCGTATAGATTGACCCTGCACAGAATAGTACTGAATGGAGGAATCAGCTTGGAAGGATCAGGGTTAAACTCGTGACCATAACACCAATGCTGATGATGACAATGATTAAGTCCTATTCCCTCAACTGAGTTATTAAACACTTAAGTAAACCCATTAATAAAATAGTATATATTTACAGTATCATTTTTCAGTGGTTTTTTTACAGATATCTAGTTTATTAAATTTCAAAATTTATTTAATGGTGTTTTGATCTGCAACTAAAATGAATTTTGACTATTGGCAATTTTAATATAAGTACTTATATTCTGACATGATTTACAATAAATTTACAATAATCGACCACTTTTTATTACTGTTTTTAATTTTTTGTTTCTGTTCATACTTTTATAACTTTCAACACAATACTTAATAGTTAAAAAGCAAATTTAGCAATTAGGTATACTGGGTTTTTCAGGCAGTCAGAAAAAATGTGATTTTCACCAAATCCATTAATTTAATGAATTGAGAAAAAAATTGTTGAAAAGTTGAGAGTGGATAAAACATTGACATGTAGGTATATTTACTTACCTTCTTTGGATTTTTGTTTTTCTTTAAAACAGATAAGTTCATTTTGATTTTGTTCCATTTCATTCTTTATTGGAAATTCCTTCAAATCTAAAGGATCAAAAGTATAATCTGTATTGTCTACATTTGATTGCTCCTTAATTTCATATTTAAAGCTATTCAAAAGAGCATCATCCAATTCTTTGTTCTCTATTTCTATTTTACAGGTCTCCTCACAAATTTCTTGTTTTATAACTTCCATTTGGTTAAAATTGATTTATGTAATTCAATAATAATTTTACCACCTCAGCCAAATCTAAAACCCAAAAGCAATGCCTGACGTGCGAAAAATTAATTCACTTCATATACGATATTGATTATAAAGTAAATAATAATAAACATAGATAAATAAGCACTATTTTCACTTCTGCTCCATTTTCATTTTAGGCCCCGTGAAGATAGCCTCAAATTAGCTGTCAATTAAGTTTTAAGTTTCACAGAACGAAATATTACGTTGGCAGTGTTGCCAGGTTCCTATAATGTATATGTTATATGCTTCAAATACAAAGAGATAAAGCTTTTAAAAGGTACATTTTTATTATATTATTTTATGGATTCCGTAATTTTATACCTTATATAAAATATTAATGAAGTAATATTTGTTTCGTTTGATATTAGTTTGAGATTTTAATGGAGTAGTGATGCGCATCATAAGGTATTGCTTCCAGATAACACCTCTAGCCTCTCTTACTCAATTCCTATTCTCACCTCCGAGAAGTGTGATCCGGATCACACGGGTGAACCCCAGTAAACATGAGCAACCCTACTGGAGACTGGGTAACCAACCCCAGTGGAAGGTGGGGTCAGGGCTGACGAGGAAGGAAGAAATGGTCCTCTGAAAAGGGGGTTGGGCATGAGGCTAACTCCCTCATCCCATAAAAACCTATTGTTACGAAAGCCGGACTGAATTCAAGACGACGACCCACGCACCGAACTAAGGACAATGATTTAAAGATCAGTACTTGGAATGTAAGAACGTTGTATAGGACAGCGGGACTGAAGCTGTGGCAATATAAACTCCTAAAATATAGAATAGACATTGCAGATGCATTGCAGCCATTCAAGAGATGAGATGGACAGGAACCGGCATTATGCAGAAAAAAGAACATGATTTATATTACAGCTGCAACTCGAACCGACATGAGTTCGGAACCGCGTTCCTAGTATCAAAGAAAATCAAAAATTATTGATTTTAAAGCCATAAATGATCGGTTATGCATCCTTCGAATAAAAGGAAAATTTTTCAACATATGCCTGATCAACGTGCACGCGCCAACCGAGGCAAAAGACGAAGAAGTTAAAGATCTATTCTACGAAGACCTCGAAAGAGCATATGATAACTGTGCCAAAAACGATATTAAAATAATCATTGGAGACATTAACGCCAAGATAGGAAAAGAGATATGCTACCAAGATTATATTGGTAAACACAGCCTTCACGACGTTACTAATGACAATGGTTTAAGGCTTATTAGTATGGCAGCTGCCAAAGATTTAATTGTGGGAAGTAAATGTTTTAATCATAAGAATATCCATAAAGCAACTTGGATATTACCAAATGGACACACCGCAAATCAAATTGACCATGTTATAATTGACAGAAGGCACTTTACAAACCTAATGGATGTCAGAAGTCACAGAGGCTCAAATATTGACTCAGACCATGTCATGGTAGGAGCCAAGTTACCACAAAGAATTTCCAATGCCAAGAAAGAAAGGGGCACTAGACAAGTAAAATATAATTTACATATGCTAAAAAATGAAAACAAAGAGAAACAGTTTCAGTCACATATAAAAGAAACCCTAGAACACACCTGGGCAGTCGACCAGTCAAAAAATAACAGATGAGAAGAACGAGGCATTTAGGACCCTGTAACAACGAACAACTAGAACAACAATAGATAGATATAAAGACTTAAGGAGAGAGGAAAAACGCATACACCGAAAAAAGAAACGAGACTCGGAAAATGACATATTAGAACAGCTCGAAAGCTATATGAGTCACGGAGAAACAAGAAAGTTCTATCATCAAATAAATATTATTGGAAAAGAATTCAAACCAATTTGTTGAAAGCCGGTAGACAAAGCGAACCAAAGTCTGGAGGCGTTGATACGGCTGATGCCAAACATTGGAGGAAGTTAGCTCCAAAAGAAGGGTGCTAAATGAAGTTAGTTAGTCGGTGGTAATCTACGCTGTCTTCGTTTGGTATAGCGCACTGAACACTACGAAATACACTAAGCTAATGAATTCGCAAAGGCAAATGCTCCAGAGCGTATCTCACGCATACAGGACGTTTTCAAATGAGGCTCTGTATATCATTGGAGCGGTGATACCGATCGATTTGTTGTGCAAAGAGCTAACGAGGGTGTATGCGAGGAGGATGGATGAAAATATAGATGAGAATGAGAGAAAGAGAACGATAGTGGAGTGGCACAGAGAATAGGCGAATGATCGAGGAAAGGCAAGGTGAACAAAGGAGCTTATTTTCGATCTGATACCGTGATGAGGATGTAAGTTCAGGAAATTAGACTACTTCCTGACACAGTTTCTGACCGGATATGGTATTTTTGGCACCTTCCCTTCACAAGAGGGAGCAGGAGGACAGGGGGATTGAACCACTCAGTAAGCACAAGTACGTACACAAGACAAACTAAGTACGTACTGATGGGACATAAAGTATGTACAATGTACGTACTTTGCTGTACGAAATACGTACTTAATACGTACATAAGTCGTACATTTTCCAATTTATCGTACATACCTAGTACGTACTGAAGGTACGTACCTAGTACATATTGAAGGTACGTACTTAGTACATACTATATATACATAATATGTACATACTATACACACTTATGATGATTTATGTAAAAAAAGTAAATATAGGAGAATATATCTATTATTTTTTTAAGAAATAAATTAAATTTTTATTTTGATTCCTTTTCCTTGAAAGTTTTTAAGCGATCCCCGGCTCTCCACAACCATCGTCCAATTTTTTGCTCCGACAACTTCTTATCACTACATTTTTGACTAAAAACACTCGACTGAATAAGATAACAGGTAACCACACTACAAGCACTATCACCAAAAACAAGTAAAAAAAAATCTAAATGAAACTGTCTTGAAATGAATTATCACATCAAATCTGTACTCGAGGTGAAATGTATGTACTGGCATGTACCCCAGTGCACGTACTTAAAACGTACATTTTACATCATGTACGTACAGTACCAAAATTGTACGTACTCAAAACGTACTGTGCTGTTTGGCAGTCATCTGAAATTTATGGTTATTATTGTTTATTATTTTATGGTCTTACGGAAATATTTTCATATTTACGGTGATAGGTATGGTTATTTGTAAGTTTTCATTAATATAATATAGTTATTCTTCTTTTAAAGTAACGGTTAAGAATTTTAGTTCATTTAGTTCATTGAGACGCAAGACCATTACTCTAGAACGGTGGTTTTAGGTTTTAGCCGGAACACGGTTAATTCGGCACTACCATGTTGTCCTCTGGCTGGCTGGCTGGGGCCAGGGCGTCTTCCGTCGTGAAGGAAGATGTTTAAAAAAGATTTCCCCCACTTTTGCCTGCCGGAATTCTATGGATACCTTCTTAGGCTGTTACTGGAATCTGGTAATACGGCAATTAAAAAAAACGCGGTATTGCTTAATATCCAACGAATTAAACTTTAGAATGCGAAATAATTAAAAGTGAGTACCCACACTTTAACGATTATTGAAGTTAACATTGGAGTATTTTCCAATGCTGCTTGTTAAATATTGTTTACGAATATTTCATCAATAAGTTTTGTGTTTTTCAGTGGCAGTCAGATAAATTTTGCTTTAAAATCTTATTTCATGAATGTCTCAATTTTCCTTTTTATTACTTAAAGTTGCGTTGTTCTCCATTTTAAATACGTATCATATTTAAGATTATAAGTGAGTCCTCTGAGTTCATATTTGAGCGAAGTGTGAAGATTACTTACTTTAATATATTAAACAGATCTTTACTTAATAGTATTTACTTATTCTATCTTTCGTTAACTCTTTAGCCCATGAATTTTTGGTAATTTTTTTTCAGATAATAATTTTAATTCTATTTTTAAGTAAAAATATTTTAAAAAATATATCTACGAGGAAAACTTTATTGACAAAAAAAATTTTTGGTGTCAAATATGGAACATCATGCAACAATGAAATATTTAAGTCAAATTATTTTGAAGCTACAGTATACACTATACAGTATAAAACTGCAAATAACAGTTTCTTTCTTTATTAATATACAACGCTATTGTGCATTTTGTGCACACTATATATGTTTTCCCTGTACAGCATGGAAATTTGCATCTTGACCTAGTGCTCTCATCCCAATAAGGAAAATTATCAAGCCCATCTTTACGGATGTATTCTTGGGGTATTTCTTTAGTTGGTCCTTTTTTCGTTTGTTCTCGTACATCTGCTGAATGCTACTACTTAACGGTCTTCCTACTCTGTTATTTTTAATTGGTTTTATAAATCTCTTCGCTCTTTTGGCTAATAACCAACAGTTCACGGCTGTCATGTCAATGAAATAAAAAAATATTCGTAAATAATATTTCTTCGACCTGATTTATATACGATAAAATCCTAACATGGAATCAAGGAAATCTGTTATCTACACCGATTTTATTATCAAACCAGGACACTATACTGACACTCACATTGTCTATATTGGCTATTTTCTCTACCATATGACCTCTGCCGCGCTTCTTCATTTTTTTTCTCAGCTGGCATCACAACTCCAGGAACATGATTAAGTCTGACTGTTCCCAAAGGTACAATGCCGTCTTTGGTCAAATATATCATAAAGAGGTATTCTGGTGAACCAAATGTCAAAAAACAGCTTGTAATGTTGATGTTTTGGTATCGAATCTGCTAATTTGACAACCACGTTACTGCTCATACTAAAATTTGGTGCTCCTACAGGTACAATATTACTCTGGGAACCAGCAAACAAATTAAAGTCATAGATGAATCCCGAAATACCACTCAGCACAAGTTTATGAAGTTTATGAAGCCCCACTTATGTGGTTTTTTTGGGTTATACTGCTTAAGCTGTCTTGATACATCGTTCACCTTTGTTTTTTCTCTGTTGATGTATCAAGACAGGTTGCAAAACTTAAAAGGAACTTTGCCGGTCACACTCTCCGGCAAAAAGATGAAAGATGGAATAAGCGAATTCTACACCTTAGACCTGGGAAAAGAAAAGAAAAAGAGGAAGACCACAGATGAAATGGACTGACGACCTTAAGAGAACGGCAGGAAAGGACTGGATGCAGATCTCCCAAAATAGAGACCAATGGAGATTAACAGGGGGGGCCTATGCCCAAGAGTGGGCGTTTAAGGCTGATTAGATAGATAGATACTGCTTTAGCTGGCTTCGTGCTTTTGTTGGTACAACCTGTTCGTCTACAGCTAGAAATTATTCTTTCGGAATCATAAGTAGTCGTTCTTTGATTTGGCTCAGAACAGGTCTAATTTTGAATAATCTGTCATGTCCAGGCTGATCATTTTCAATCATGTCATCATTGTTATTGAAATGCAAGAAACGTTTTATTTCTTCGAATCTGTTACAGCTTATCACATCGCTAACTGTTCGGTGGCCAATATTGGCATTCCAATAGTGCCTTGTTGATGGAAGTTGACTGAGTATAAATCTGATTGGTCTGTGATATGCTCTATAAGACTATCAGAAAGGAGAAACTTAAAATTGGACCGTAGTTTCTAATTGTAAAATCGAGTAACGTAAATTTGCAGAACAAGTAAATTTTGTATCATTTTCTGATCTTCACAGATTTCCTTTCACCTAATTATAAGATTTCTTCCTTTTATATCGTAGTCTATCAGACAAAGGGGTATCATGATCTGAAGATGTGACAGAAATGACAGTTTCCTTGACATTGCTTGGTAAATTTTCACGCTCCTCTTTGTCACTATCTTGACACAATATCATCTCATTTGTGCCGTCTTTATCGGAGAGATCTGATTCTTCACTATTAGTACTATTTGGAATGCTAGCTGTATTCATTGTATCATAAAAGAATTTCGGATCCGTATCTACAAAATCAATCAATGAGTCCATAACTTCATAGTGTGCCATATATAGCACAAACCCTTTTTGGGGTTTTCGAGAGACTTTCAATATTCTTAATTTTTAGTACTTAACTAAGCAGATATCTAATATCACAATACAATACATTTCAATTTTTTCTCGCCATAAAAAACGTTTTTACTATGAAAAATATCCTTTAAATTCGAGCACTGTTTCACGTGGTTCAGAATTTCAACAATAATGAACTTGAAACTGCGCACGGCTGCCTAGCTATCTCGCCATCAGAACTGTGCCGCATATCTCGCTTACACTATTAGTACATGATATAAGGATACCAGATATGATATTGCCACGCACTAAACTCGTACACTCACGCGCATGACGTCACCTTGTGCTAAATTTTCAAAATGTATTCATGCTTGCGGATGAAACGAACTGTTGAAATTCTAATATAATTTACTAGATGTTTTATTTACTACGTGAATTTCAGCTTAAGTATTTAAATTAGTATATTGTAAAAAATAACAATTTTCCCATAAGAGTGAAGTTTGATGGAGGGAGCCATGGCCGAATGCCACAAATTGCAAACTATGGAATGTGATTTTCATACAATATATATTTTATATATAGTAGTTAGGTATTATTGACTGACACGTTAGGTAAACTATTTTTTTTGAGGTTGCAGTCATTAATAGGGCAGAATAAGTAAAACTCTTTGTTCTTTTATTTAGCTTTCACAAAAATTTATTAGCTTCTTCAGGATATACTAAAATATGGTTATAATATATATATATATATATATATATAATATATATATATATATATATATATATATATATATATATAAATATTTTTCTTTTGAGGTTGCAGTCATTAATAGGGCAGAATAAGTAAAACTATTTGTTCTTTTATTTAGCTTTCACAAAATTTATTCGCTTCTTCAGGATATGCTAAAATATGGTTATAATTATTTAATCTCCCAATTATATATATATATATATATATATATATATATATATATATATATATATATATATACTATTAAAGTATTCAACTAGTGAATTGAGTTAAATTGGTTAATCGGTCGTTCAGGTTGGCAAAATAAAAAACAGAAGTCAACTACTTCATAAGTTTATAGAAGACATTTCGCTTTATACTTCTAAAGCTTCATCAGTTCTAACTCAATATGTAGCATTAAAGATGTTATTATATGTTTACTTAAGTTTACTCATTATTTAGAACTAACTTAAAAAAAAACAGAAACAAAGGACACAAAAACTTTGCAAAAAATAATATCATTCGCAGAAACAAAGATTTAAAAAAATTTTTAAACGTACATTTTGCTCCATTTAGAGATGGTTCTCCAATGAAGACAAACAAAACACTCACTAGTGTTTTGTTTGTCTTCATTGGAGAACCAAAACCTTCGACTTCTGTTTTATATTTTGTCAACCTGAATGACCGATTAATCACTTCAATCACTTTCAACAAAGTGCTTAGAGCAAACACGAGCAAATTTAACATTAAAATTATCCTGGCGTTTACACAAATGTTTCCAAACAGCTTGCATTTCCTTGTCTTTTGAAAAGCTATAAAATGCTGTACCGGGTACAAAACTCTTGCACATATTGTCAACGCCACAACCATACACTGCACACCTCATATCGGAAAAAATTTAAAGCCTTGTAACACTTTTAAAATATTATTTTACTAAATATTGGCTATGAACCGTAAATGTACATAAACGTCAAAACACAATATGGCCATAGGTAAGAAGGTTAGGAATATGGCGAAATTTAGCACAAGTTGACGTCACAAAAGTCATGCATAAGCCACGCCCACATGCGCGGTATCTGATCTGTTTGTATTTGTATCATGCTATTAGTACGTGTCAGATATCAGCTGCCATGCAGCTACGACAAAAATTGAGTTAAAACATTAAAAAAAAATTTTTTCTTGGTTTGATGTGGTAAAGGTTAAGGTAAAAAAACTGAGTAAAATACATCAAAACGTTTTCAAATATTTTTAATTACAAATAGATTTTTTATATATATCAAAAAATAAATATATCTGCAACTAACACTAGATTTATAGAAATAAATATATTTACACCAAAATAAATGGACAATGTATGTATATGAGTAATTTTTTTTAATAAAATTTGTTAAAATTTAAAGAAAATTTAAATTAAGAATTATAAAAAGTCTTGTATTTAGGTATATTTGATAAAAACAAAATAGAAAGTAATTTTTAGCTAAAATGCATTGTCAATTTTTAAAAACAATCAGTAAACTAATTACCCTCTATTCAAAAAATTATACAGTGTGTTAATTATATAAACTATTACTTATATTAATGAATTATTTACCTATATCAATAGTTACTTAAAATGCAAAACATTTGTTCGATATTTCACTAACAAAATTTAACATATACTTTTTTAGGTGACAATTTGGTGTCCTTTTATAAAATGCAATCACAGTATCGATTATAAATTTAACCCTTTCACTGCACTTGACGAGTATACTTGCTGATATGCTGACTGCTCTAGAACTGTTTCAATATACAGTAGAGCATTGTTATTCGATATATGACGTCACCTCTTCATAGACAAATCGAATCTTGCATTCTGTCTCTGTTTGCGCACACCGACAGTACATACGCTCAGACTGCTCTAGACGAGTTAACTCGCATAAGGTACTATACAAAATATTTGCTTGGTTGCAATTTGAACTCGAATCAGTATTGTTTTATCCGTCACGGAAATGAGTCGGAAATATCTTACTGATGCAGATCTCGCGCGTATGCTAGAAGAAAGTGATTTTGAAGATGATTTTATGAACCATTATGAGAGTGACGATGGATGGCCAAAAAGCGATACAGAAGATGCAGAAGGTGAACTTAATATATATGTATTAGGCTTTTTGTACTGCACGTTGATCTCAAAACGTCTGTTATATATTTTTGTGTTCGTGTTGATTTTAAATAAGCATTTATTTCATTCTAACATCAACGCTCGTGGAAAAATCACAAAATGTTGCTGAAAACGAGGCTGAAGATGATGCAGAAAATGAAACTGGAGATGAATTGAAAAACACACCAGCCGAACAGTTAACAACAACTATGCAAGCTGCGGCATTTCTTTGGAAAGATTAAAAGTTTTTACCGGTCATAAACCTTTTTGATAATAACAATTCTGGATGTAAAATTGATAGTTTATCAGATACGCCACATGCTGTAGATTTTTTGAAAGCTTTGTTACGCCCCAAATAATGAAGAAAATTACACCCAAACACCCATACTATGAACAGGAAAGTAGACAACAGGTTGATGCGAATTCACGTCTACAACGATGAAAATTAGTTAATATAAATAAAATGTACTGCTTTTTAGCAATCAATCTGTTGATACTCCAGACGAAAAAATCGAATGTCAATTATGATTGGATTAGTACCTTTTATGAATACTCCAACATTTTTGCTCCTTATGACAAGAAATCGCTTTCTACTAATTTTGCGGATGATGCATTTTGTTGATAATGATGAAGAGCCTGTCAAAAGAGACAATTTACGTAAGATAATGATTACAGTCGATCATCGTCATATCTAATTGGCAAATCTTTTGGCGAATGGATTTAGTGTCCACAGTCATTTAAACACAAACAAACAACAAAAAACAGTCGATAATTTGAAAACCAAATTTAGAGAAAATTTCAGTCCGTTTCAAAATCTTTGCATAGATGAAAGTCTGTTATTATATAAAGGCAGACTTTTTTTCAAACAGTATATTCCTTTAAAAAGACATCGGTTTGGAAGTAAATTTTTTCTCCTTTGTGATTGTGAAACCAGCTATGTTCTCCACTTCATCATATACACGAGAGCCATATCTGATATTGAAGAATATGAAATTGAAAAACTGGGAAAATCTGGTGACATTGTTTTGTCACTTTTAAAGCCTTACTTGAACAAAATTTCAACATAGCCTATTTGTAGATAACTGGTACTCAAGTCCTATGTTATTCTCACACCTTCACGATCTTAAAACAAATACCTGTGGAACAGTAAAATCAAACAGAAAATTTATGCCAAACAGAAAACTTAAAAGTCGTGAAGTTGTGCCCAGATCTACAGATAAACTTCTCATGCTGAAATGGCAAGATGAGCGTGAAGTTTGCATGCTCACTAGCTGTTACCTGCGTAACTAAGAAATACGGAATGTGTAGATTATCTTACACGAGACATTATTAAAAAACCACATTGTATCATTGGATATAATAATAATATGGGATCAGTCGACAAATTGGACATGCTACTTACATCGATAGAAAGTGTCAGGAAAACCATTAAATGGTACAAGAAGGTGTTTTTCCATTTGTTGGATCTGGCTGTATTAAACTCTTATCAGCTTTATAAAGCTAAAACTGGCGAAAATATTCCAGTAGCCAAATTCCAACTCAGATTAGTAGAAGAAATTATAGCTAAATATCATGTTTCATCTTTCCACATGGAAGAAGGCGAAGATGTGGAGGTGAATGTGATTTGAGGCTCACAGAAAGACATTTTTTTGATGTAGTTCCACCGACAACCTTTAAAAAAAATCCGACTAGGAGGTGCGTTGTATGCGACAAAAATAAAAAACGCGCAGAATCAAGATATATGTGCCCTGTCTGTCATGTAGCACTTTGTGGTGTGCCTTGTTTTGGTATTTAGCACACAAAAAAAAGACTTTTGATTCAAATGCTTTACAAAAATTGACATCATCGTTATAGCTCTGTAAGAATGATAAGTGGTTTCTTATTTATTTCGAATTTTGTTCGGTACTATCAATATAAACTGTCTGTCACTTTGTTAACTCTTATTTCATAATCAGATATCCGAAAAAATCTGAACTAAAAATTAAAATTAAAACTGTTCTGCTAGTGTATTGGTCCTGTACGGTGCGCTTCTCCAGACGAGTATAATCGCGGAGGGTCAACTAGTCAACTGCTCATAACGAGTATACTCGCATTCGTAGATTTAACGCGCATGGGACATGCATCAATTTTTAAGGTCCCCTCAGTGAAAGGGTTAAATATAAATCGTATGGTATTTAGTTACTATTAATAAAAATATCAACAACTTTTTAATGTTTCCATGAATTACGATTTGTAATTTAAAACAAAATTTAAATGTTCACTTCTTGGATGTGTTGTTAGATGGTGTTTTGCTTTGGTTACATAAAATGTCTAAAGTTTAAAATGATATGCATAAACTAAATTAAATCAAAGTTATAAAATAATTTAGTAAATTTCTTGTATATTTTTTACAGTCTAAAATGTCAATATGACATTTGTCATAATCTTCCTAACATAATTAAATATATAATCATCTTATTTATACAATACAACCTACTAGGTATATTGGAATTGATCAAATAATAACAGGATTTTTTTAAGGTACACCCACTGAATCAAGGTATTCTATTTGTCATCTGCATATCTCAGCAGACTTATTTAATTTTACTAACTGTAATCGTAGGTATTCGCCGCTTTGATAAAACGGTATTTTAAAAATTAAAATTTACATACATAAAAACTGCACATCTCAGAATAAACCAACTATAAAAAAATATTACTATATTAATAATAATTACTATATTATTTATAATAATAAATATTATTAACACCAAAGACGATCTTGAGAAATATCTGGTATAACTTTTGTAGTACAGTTTGTGTGTCAGGTTACCTAAAATTAAGCTGAGACCAGCACTTTGAAAGGCAGCGCTGACTAAATATTCCATTGGTTAAAAAAATCTAGGAAATTGTGCTAGTTAGAGTATAAGCCACGACTGGTCAATGGTTTGATTGTACCAGTGAATCTCTATGGGCCAGAATGTTGGACATCGAGGAAGTTCACAAAGGTACCATGCAGACTTTGCAATTTTTAGTTAGAAATTAATTTCAAAAAATATCGCAATAAATTACGACAATTAAGCTGATCAATAAGACAAATGGAAAAATTACAAAAGAATAAAATGAAAGAAAAGAGATGCCAAATAATCCTAGGGGAAGGGTGTACAAAATGATATAGTGGGAGGTATAATGACACAGTGCTTTTATATACCGAATTCGTTGTTCAGAAGTGCTCAGAAACGAATATCTAATTTGATATAAGGTTGATGCTCGAATAAATGAACTTTGATCAGATAAAAGACAGACATAGAGCATAGTTTATTAATTAAATCTTGCCCAAGTACTTTCGCTTCCTAGAGCATCTAGAGAAATGACTCTGAAGATACTCTAGGAAAGGAAAGTACTTATGCAAGATTAGCTAAACGTACATATTTTCTCCTACTTTGTTAAAAACTCATCTAAAGTGTTTCAAATACTTTAATTTTCGTTTTACTAAGTTTTGTTTAAGAAAATGTTTTCTTTAAGTAAAATATTGTACACCCTTTCCCTATATCTTTGAGCAATGGAATATATTTAGATAGCTATTTCTTGAATGGACACTCCAAAATCAAAATAATTAAGGATGACGTAGCTACCCCTGAACATATTTTATCTACAAAATAGAACACGCTAATAATCTGGGAAAAATTTAACAACTATAGCTTAAATTATAAGATGATACCGCTTATTGATTGTTAATTAGGGGTTATAATTATCGCTGCCTACTATTGTCAGCTACATTAGACCAGATAAATCTTGTTTCTATAAAACATCTCATCTTTTAGCAGATAATAGATACAGCAGGGTATGCTATTAACACAAAAGTGATTATTGTTGCGTTTACATCCATCAGTCAGTTTTATTCTTTGATAACGAATATAAAAACCATCAATCGTAAAAACAAATAAAATTTATGACAATAACTTAACAAAAAGTCCAGTTATTTTTGATCTACGTTATAAAAGTTTAAAAATAATCATTTTGTCTCAATAAATTATATTAATGGGATTATTCTACAGAAAACATTTCATATTCTGTAAAATATATGTCAAGTAGCTGCTCACTATGGTTCCAAAGACTGGATGTAATGTTAATACACTTTTTACTTGAAATCATAAATATGTAACTTATGATTTTTCTAGTTTAACGTCTTGAAGGCTCAGAACTTCTTCTCTAGTTTGTGGTTCCTCTTCTTCTGGTAAAGCAAATAAAACCTTGTATATACCGCACCCTAGAATTGCCCCAATGTTAGGACCGATCCAGTATACCTAAAACAAAAATATTGTTTATGTAAACAGGAATATTTTTCCAGTATTAGGTATAAAGATATAACAAGATTTTATTAATATCAGCCTATATTGTGCTTATCTGTTTAGAAACATCTCAACCTATTTTTTATGTTATATTATTGCGAGCTTTTTTAAACTTATACGTCAATACTATAAAGCTGAATGCTCTAATTTATTTCACAACAATCAATACGCTTAATACCTATTTTTAATTCGATACTTTCTATACCTTTTATATCTATACTTTTTAATTCTATATTTTTTGTTCAGTTACTCCTCGTTACTTGGTTACCGTTAGTCCTAGACTATTTTATCATAGACTATCTTAAAATACAGAAAATAAGCTTTCTTTTTAATTCAGTAATGTATATACCTAAATTTACAAGAACAAAATTTATAATGAGAAATTTAAAAAATCGTTAAGAGTAGTAAAATTTTAAACAACTGTATTTTGCTTAAAATTATTCACAGAACCTTCTACAATAGACCATTTTAAAGATATTTGATTTTTCTTTCTATTAAACGTACCATTGTCTATACCTAGAACTTCGTAGAAAAAAGTGTGGGTGATATTCCATCTGCTATATGTAGCGGCACGGAAGTCTTTCTTTCTATATACAAAAGTAAAAGAGGACAAGAAAAATCTAGCTGATTATAGAAAAGCTATAATTGGATCTCTCATACAAATAGGATCGTCTGATTGCAGACTTTTAATAAAACAACAAACAAAGGAAAACGCACTAAAAACAGAAGTTACAGAGCAACATTTTTTAGAAGAGATAAGTTTGCCTTAAAATTACCACAAATTCAATTATTCTTAAAATGTATTCAGTGTACAAAACAGAAGAAACAAAAGGATAAAAAACAGTTCTTACTACTACGAAGACGTTTATTGACATCTATGTCTAAACTGGGTAACTTTGACTTGTTTTTGGTAAATTTTGATAATGACATATCATAACGCACTTGCTTAGTAAAGCAGGCAAACTGTCTGCTGATCATACTTTGTGATTTTAATATAAATTTTAAAATTAAATCTGACCACTAAGGATCTCTGTTTAAAATATATAAACAACAAAAATTTGAATTTAATTGGCAATTAAAAAATGATAAAAAGTCAGCTTACTGTGATTTTATTAATAATTTCAATAATAAACCTAGATACTGCTAGAAAATAGAATTTCGAAAGAAACAATACAAGATCCAGTTCGGTACAATCTGATCTTCCTTCAGACAAAATAAATCAATTTTTTATTACCACTTCACAAAATATAATTACATCTCTTCCCACTATTAATATTGATGTCCTCTTCAATTACAGAAATTATCCTTCCATAAGCAAGTCTTTTTTTTTCGTCCCGTTGTGAAAAAAGAGGTCAGTCAAATAATAAAGTCACTTAGTAATTCTAATTGTAAAGACGTTGACGAAATTAATAGAAAACACCTTTAACTCATCTTATTAATTGAATCCTATCAAATGGAGTATTTTCAGAAATACTAAAATACTCAAAAATACCTATCTACAAAAAAGGTGATTTCTCAAAAAAAATTACAGACCCATAAGCATTGTTTCTACTTTTGGGAAAGTGATTGAAAAGGTTATTAAACAACAATTTTATTCCTATTGGGAGTCCAACAATTACTTTAGCAACTCATAATATAGATTCAGAAGTCCTCGTTCTACTACGTATTGGGCGTTAATGGGGTAAGTGTAATGGGTCATCAAACTACTAAATCTGTGTTCACATAATCATTTTCTAGTGTTGGCTGTTTGAGGAAGTAGGATGAATATTGATAAAAACCAGACTTTTGGTAAGTGACCAGTCTCAAGCTGTGATTTGATTTGAATATCTTTAAAAATTTCAATATGCATGCCATCAGGTTCTGGTGATTTCGTATCTTTAATTCGCCTAATAGACATTTTAATCTTTTTGTTTGGTATTTTTGGGCCGTCGCAACTGTCTATTTCAGTGGCCTTGTTGTTTCTTCGACCAATTCTTTCATGTATTCTTCCATCTTCTTAATTTGTCTTCAATTGTAGTGAAAATCTGGCCTGCCATGTCTTCTAGGGGTTCTGTCTCTTTAAATTTTTGTGCATATGGAAGTCGTCATGTTTGCATTGTAGTGTTCTAATTTCTGTATCTTTCTCCACCAATTATGATTTTTTTGCACTTTTTACTTTCAGTAGTATATTTTAAACCAATTTCTGCCTTATAATTTCCTTTGCTCTTCCATTTTCTCCAATACTTGATCTGTCATGTATGTCGCTGTTCAATTATGAATGTCGGGTTTTTTAATTATTTTTAAAAAATTATTATATCTTTGTTTTTACTTTTTCCTCAATGTTCAGTAATTTAAGTCTAAGTGAAGAAAAGCAAAAGAAAAAATGCTACAGACGGAAAAGAAGTGGATGAGACTAAATGGAAAGAAGATATTCATTGAGAAAAACATAGAGAAAATAGAAACGCGATTTATACAAAAATAAAATTTCGAAAAACAGCAACGCAATTGGAAAAAGGCATCTTTTTATAAATAGCAAAACTGAAGAATTAATAGCAGATTAATTAATAGCATCCATCCACTATCTCTGGAGCAAATGGAAAATTAAATAAATAATTTAAAAAACGGTAAGAGTGTATATATATATATATTATATATATATATATATATATATATATATATATATAGCTGTTCTGATGATGTCTATTAGGCCGAAATGCGTATAAACAGATACTTAGACGCTTTGTACCTGAAATCTAATCTTTACTGTCTTTTTCATTTTATTCGGATCTACTCTGTATGAATACAAGACACCAATTCGCTAAGGATTTCTGCTTAGTTGTGGAATGCAAATTTTAAATTCCACATGTCTCTTTTAACATCTTTATCAATGTCTGTTTACTTTGCAATTTTTAGAAGGTTCAAATTAAAGCAGAAATCTGAATTGGTTTCGAAAACTATTTTACGGATTTCTCATAATAATTATATGGGAGAGGGAAAATGCCTACAAAACTGCTCAAACTATAGGGGAAGAAATAATACCAAAAATGTTAATAAATACAGAGATGGGTGACAAAAACAGAGTAGGTCGACCAAGAAAGAGATCATTAGATGAAGCAGAAAAAGACTTAAAAAGAAAGGTATTAGAAATTGGAGAAGAAAAACTAGGCACTGTAAACAATGAAAACAATTAAAAAATGAAAGCAATTGAAAAAGCCCAAAGCTATCTGCCTAAACAGACTAAAGGGCGTACGGTGGCACTGTACATATACATGTATATATATATATATATATATATATATATATATATATATATATATATATATATATATATATATTAGATATATATATATTATATATATATATATATATATATATATATATATAAAAGAGGGAAGATGGTAATTGTTCCGTCCCCTTTCTCGACATAAGGATGATTAGGGAAATCAACAACATTAAAATAGATTGGCATCAAAAACCGACACATTCTGGTAGATACCTTAACTACCACTCTTACCATAATAACTCTACCAAAGTCAACTTAATCAAACAGATGAAAAATAGAGTAATTAAACTATCAGATCCATCATTTCATACAAAAAACCTACAAATCCTTCTGAAACTTTTTATTTCAAATTTTTATCCAACACCATTAGTAAATAAGATTTTGTTTAACACTATCCATAATGAAGATACTTCACCTTAAATCGTGACTAACAATGCTGATCCTGATGTCTTAAGTAGGAACCCAGTCTCGGATACTCCTATCAATAAATATTTTTCATTACCCTATTTCAGAGATATCACTCCGGGGTTAACAAGGATTCTAAAAAGTTTTGAAAATAGCTTTTCTAATAATAATAATATCATTAAACTTAGTGTGACTTGTAGATCAGCCCTAACAATTAATAATCTTTATTCGAAGATAAAAGATAAGACTCCTATAGATAGGCTTAGTAATATAGTCTACAACATTCCATGCCTCTCTTGCAACAATTCCTACATCGGCCAAACATCTCAATTATTGAAATCACGTATTACACTACACAAAAGTGATTCTCGACTTCACCCTGACCGCTGTGCATTAGCCAAACATGTCCATTCCACTGGTCATCACATGGACTATACGAACACTACAATTCTCCACCGTGAGAACAATAAATCTAAAAGAGAGTTCATTGAAATGTCTTATATTTTCCTTAACGATTTTTCCATCAATGTTAAGAGTGACATTAAGAATCTAAGCGATATATACCACTTCTTACTTAAATCAGATACCAAGAACAATACAACATCACAGATAACCAACTTGACTGATAACATTCCCTTGCTTTTCTTAGATACGTCTCAATAAGATATTATTACAATAATACATGAACAATATACTAATTAAAAAAAAAAAAAGAATTTTAATTAAGAAAATTCTAAACTAATATCTCCCCAGACTGGGATCTAACTTCATCGGTTTTACCAATGAAGCTTAACGACATTGATATCAAAAGCACTACTTGTAATTGTTTCGGCGCTTGCGTTCTATGAAAACAGAAGCTCACATTCAAACTTTACAACAATTAAAAATTTAGTTATTGCCGACAATTCAAAGAATTACTTCCTTTAAATGTAGTTACATTGGGTTTTTCGATTGTCCTTGGGTAAACCTTTGCGTTTTAAGTTCAAAGCTACCATACATTTCCAACGTTAACAAATAAACTTTTTTGCACATAGTAACAAAAAAACACCACTATGTTGTTACTAGCTAAAGTTTTTTAACATCATAACTCGACATTTCTAAAATTTCACGGTAAGGTAAATGTTTTTTATTAGATAATATATGGTAGCTAATTATAATTTATTCTCTTTCAGCCCCGAAGAAGCCAAATTCTCTTTGGCGAAAACGTTAGGTGAAATAATTGATACACATTAGAGTTTTTTTTGCAGATTTCCCCAATATTTAAGAGTTTACTATATATATATATATATATATATATATATATATATATATATATATATATATATATATATATATATATATATATATATATATAAACTGTGTCCGTAAAGTATGGAACAAATTCTTTTTTAGCTAAACAGAGCATTTTAAGAAATAATTCTGAAACACGTCGATTTTTGATTTTAATTTAGCGTATTTTTTTAATGGAACACCCCGATTTTGTCCCAATTTTCGGATTACTGTAGCTGAGCTGATTCCAAAAATGTATCACATGTTGATTCAAATTGGTACAGGGTGGACAAAAATACAATAGTTTTGTGTGTGTTCATAAAGTAACGCGTTATTAAATTAACAATATTATCAAAAATACTTATTGTCTAGCAGACAGAATATGATGACATACATCACTTTATAAATGTTCGAACTGCAGCCATTGCTGTATTTGACAATAACCCAAACGTTGTACAAATTCTTGTTGAACCTTGTTTATTGTGCCTTGAGAAATATTGTTTATTGCTGTCCGAATTCTCTGTTGTAATTCTTGAATATCTGCTGGTTTCGTTTGATACACAAAATTTTTCAGATGGCCCCACATAAAATAATCCAAAGGATTGAAACCTGGTGACCTCGCTAACCATTCAATAGGTTCTGAAAAATTTCATCTAGGTACCTTCTAACATCTACAGCATAATGTGGAGGTACACCATCCTGTTGCAACCATAAACTTTCATCAAAATCTCCAGGAGTACATCTGCTGGGAAACAAATTACGTAAAGTAGGTACGAGATAACCCCTTAAAAACTCAAGGTACGTTGCCCCGTTTAAATTATCTTCGATAAAGTAGGGTCCGATGATTCGGTTTCTTACAATTGCAGCCCATACATTTACCTTTTGCGAGTATTGTGTATGATGCTCATGCATCCAGTAGGGGTTTTATTTTGCCCAGTATCTACAATTCTGACGGTTAACCTCGCCATTTAACGTGAAAGTGGCCTCATCAGAAAAAATAATGTTTTGTACCAAGAGAGGGTCTCGGTGGCAGTTATCCATCATTGCTTCGCAAAATTGCATTCTTCTATCGGGATCATCTTCGTTTAATTCCTGCACAAGTTTGATTTCATCAAATGACTGTGACGTCATTACTCGAGAGTAATTCACCCTGTATATTAGATTATTATTTTAAAATGCGGTAAATTAAAATCAAAATCGACGTGTTTCAGAACTATTTCTTAAAATACTCTGTTTAGCTAAAAAAGAATTTGTTCCATACTTTACGGACACAGTGTATAATTTTCTTCTATTTTGGGCTCCATTTCTTATGAATTATTTTGAGTCCTATGATGATATTTGCTACAATAAACAGAGAAGCTAATTTTTGTTTATTAACCATGGCTTACATATTATTACTCTTTTAAATATTTCAAACTCTTATTAAAAAAATTATATTAAATATCAATATTTGTTAGCATGTGTTGTATGTACATACTCCTTATAAAGTTACAGTATGTCAATCTAACTAAAGTAGTTAATTTATTTATATTACCATGACTAATTTATCCATTAAATAATTAAAAAAGTTGCACCTACGGTCTGCCTTCTTCAATGATCTTTCCCAATCAAAACACTCATAAATGTTTTTATTAAATAAACAACTATTGATTCGGGTCATTGGATAATGTGTAATCAATCAATAAAATTGATTTAAGTACCCGTAATATGTTGATGGGTACCTAATAGGTTTTATTTACGGCAATTAATTTGGTATATCGACATACTTTACTTAGGCATATTGATTGGCAATGAGCTGAAACGGTTTTTAATAATGAATCTAATATGAAGTTTGGTTATTTCTCAATGTCCTTCTTCCGAAAATTAACTGTTTAAGAAAATTGTATAACCTTAAAATTATTTAAAACGTAGAATAAGTTAGGGTATGATAGATTGTTTTATAAAGTTGTTAAAATGTAAAAAAAGAAAGAAAGTAACGACACAGGAATATATTCCGCAGCTTGACGTGAGAAAGGGGACAAGTCAATATTTAATGAAAACGGGATTAATTGTGGATAAAAGGGGACAAATTACCTATAAATTAGTAAGCAGCATACTATTGTTGTTGTGATTATTACTGCAAAATATTTTTTTTTGGGACAAGTTGTTTACAAGGAGTTTTCTACAAAAATATATAATATTAGCAAGAAATTCATAGAAGTTACAGCAGTGAAGAATATTCTCATATAATAGAAATTATTAAAACTAAAAGAGTAGTTAAATAACCAATATTTACAAGGTAATCAAGGGTATAAAAACAAATGAAAAGATAAACTTATGACCATCGATCATGCTAAAATCAAGACTATTATTTTTGATCTCCAGAAATGCCTTCCAGCACCAGAGCTTCAAAGCGGTAAGTTGTTTTACAAAAGGCAATTTTGGACTTTTAAACTTACGGTTCATGATGGTGGGAATTCTCAAGCTCACTGCTACTTTTTGTGGTATTAATTTTCAGCAAAACGTGATGGAATGAAATGGGGTCTTGCCTATATAGATACTTTACAAAGGATGCCCCAATCAGAATAACACTTTCATAACAGTAGCTTGTTTAACTGATTTACAGTGCCCCGGGAATTTAAAAATTATTGACCACAAGTTTTTAATACCAGGCCATACAAATATGGAGTGCGATACGAATCAGGGTTTAATAGAAAAAAAAAAGAAGAAAAAATTGAGTATGCAAATAGAACATTCACATGATTGTGGTCAACCATGGACGTAAAAACACAGATGGACTCAGTTATTTACATAAAATTGTGAAGTCAAAATTATTTGAATAGGTCACATTCTCAGCACCTTCAACTGTTGTCACGTTTTTTTATTAAAATTTCTTATTCGCGAGTCGCTGAAAATATTACTCCGTATTTTATACTCTACAGATGCTATCAAACCAAAATAATAATTTATGGTTATAATAATATATTTAATTCTAATCAAAATATCAAATGTGCACATAGTGTGCATTATTATTTAATAATAGCGTATAATAGATATCAATCGATTATTTTATATGTAGAAGCACTGAAAACTATTTATAAATGTCAACGGTATTTACATTTCTCTGTCTTATGGCTGACTCTACGTCAAACTTCAAATGCTGTGCTGTTCCATGTTTGTTTACTTTTTACAGTAGATGAGGAAAAGTTGTTTTTCGATATTTTGGCTGTATTTTGAATGATATTTGTGAAAAGTAAAATAAACATATTATAATAATGGTGCTACAGTGTTGCATTTGCAAAAAAACGAAATATTTACATCCCGATCTCTCATTTCATTTGTAAGTACTGTCTATTTACATTATTTAAGATGGGGAACTGAAGAAGCGTGTTTATTTACATTTTAAAACATGTCTTTCATAGGCGTACCGTTGGGTTTATTTATGTTCATTAATGTATTAAATAAAATATGAGTTAATGAAATTATAGACATTTTTATGTAAGTAGACATCATCTGAATAAAAAATATCTGTTTAGTACCTTTTTAATTTAATATTTCTCATGGATACAAATATATTAGTGAAATGAATAAAACTCATTTATTTTTCTATATAGGTTTCCAGATAATATTGACGATCGAACTATTTGGATAGCAAATTTAGGAGAAAACATAAAGATTTTTTATTGTAGCATTACTTTATACTGTTACTTATAAAATTACCTATTAAAAAATTAACGTGAATTCAACTATATTTTATTATATTAATTTTAAAGCAAATAAAATTGTATTTTAATTTTTCTATAAAGAAGTGATTTGTTAATAGTTAGACTCTCGTTTTTTTTTTAATTCTTTGAACGTGTTTTTATACATTATTACTACTTCCAATTTTTAAAGTCTGAATAATTATCCCCGCGAGTAAAAATTCAAGCACGCTTATGCTCATTGAGGAAGCATTCTATCGAAGCTTCAAAACATTGTGTGTTAAAGGTATCTTATTGCTGTGTCCATCTGTATTTATACGTCCATGTGATCAACTAATTCGACAAGTAGAGAGGAAACATTCAATTTAATTAGAGAAATTCAGAGTTCCACGTTTTTTTGATTTTTGAAATCATTCTACAAAAAGGCATGCAATTGTAAGAATAGTGTTTAAATCGCTGTATTATCTTAAAAAAAGATTAAGTTTTGATTAAGATCAAATATTTTATATAAATATTGTTGTTTCCTTAGCCAAACCTGGGAAATAGGTAATATTATTATGTTTTGTATACATATATATATATATATATATATATTATATATATATATATATATGTATATTATATATATATGTATATATATATATATATATATATATATATATATATATATATATATATATATGTATGTAAATTACTCATACTCAAATTTAAAACTGATACTGTTAAAAGTATAATTTCTATTTTACCTATATTTCTATACCTTATTTGAACTTGTAACATCCAATAAACTGAATGATTGTCATGATTTATATCAATGATAATCAAATAAATATATATAAAAAAAATATTATTTCTGTAAATTTTTTAAATAATAAAGTTTAAAATTAAACTTAAAATATCATTTTACTCACCCACTGATCTTTAAAATTTCCTAGAAGTAAGGCTGGAGCAAAAGTTCTTGCTGTATTCATACTAGCACCCGTTAGAGGGCCCTAAAATTCATTTATTATTTTTAATATTTCTAAATATGTAGTTACGATTAAAAATGCAAAAGTATCGTTGAAAATTTAAAAGAAAAAACAAAAAACAGAGTATAATAGATTCGTTTAAAACAAGGAAAGTACAAATTGTTGCATTCAAGAGATGGGTTGAAAAGGTCAAGGGGCGAAAAAACTAGGCGGAAAGGATACAAATTTTGGTATATAGGGAAAAGAAAGCTAGGAATGAAGTAGGTATATTTGCTAATAAAGATGATAAAATGATGATAAAAGCAAGAACAACTGATAGAATTGAGTGTCTGTGAAATTTATATGTTAATATGTGTTAATTTGTGTATACTCCCTAAGTCGCTTTGGGTGATAATGAAAAAAATCCTTTTAGTGATCAATTACTTAACATATTTAGAGATATTTCATTAGAGGAGAGTGATAATAGAAAATGATTGTAACCCTTTGCGGCACATTCGTTTCGCCACGAAACCACCAATTTCATCACACTAATGTGCTCAACTGACCCACTGGATCCAGTACGTGGCCATACTAGCAGTGTCATCTATATTTCAATAGATGAACTTGGAAGTAAAAATGTTTTAGTTTTAGTTTTAGTAAAATTGTATAGTTAGAATTTTTTGGTATGAACGTGGCACGAACGGCCATCGGAAGAACAAACGTAAGGAGAAGGATTTGCGTTTGGTTTGTAAATCGAACGAAGATTTTAGGTTGGGAGAAGCATTCAGTTTGAAAGGGCATGTGATGTTTTAAATCAGCAGCCGGCAATTTTGTGTAATGGATTAAGTTTCAAGACCGGTAAAAACTTGTAATTACTCTCTGTAAAATGGCAGTTTAGAATAGAGTAACCACTTAATAGTTAGAAGATTTGTGCAGTATACCAGAATATGGTAAAAATTCAAGGCAGTATAAAGGGTGTGCACAACCTCGTTTCTCGTCTGTTTGCTTCCAACCTCGTTTGTCGTCTTTGATCGTCGTTCCAGACTATAAAGATAGTCTTCCTTTGTTCCTGTTAAGAAAATGTCCAGATATCTTCTACCCCAGAGATATTAGCAAGGATTTCAGAAGTTAAAGTGTAAAATATGTGAATTAAGGTAACATTTAATGTATTAATTTTTAAATTAAAATAGATATTTTTTCTTAATTAACAATAATTGCTTTCATTTAAAATTTACGAATCTGTAATAATTAAAATTATATATGTTAGGGCGTGGCTAAAAAATGTCATAATTTATTCTGTCTTAAAATGTTATGTTGACATATGACAGCTAGCTTTAATTTGTTTCTGTTGTGACAAATTTTTGATTTGTTTGTAGAAAAGGTTAAACATTACAATTTTTATTTATAAGGATATCCTTAATTTCAATAATCTATTTTGGCCACAGTGATAAATAACCTAGTAATCATTTTGAAAGATTTTGTAGCAATCTCCTTTGTAAACAGATAGACACGTAAGTTTTTTCTTTGTAATTTTGTATTTTGCAACTATTTATATAGTATATTTTTTGTGCCATCTGTATTTTGATAACTGTTTGTTTGAGACAAAAATAAATGTTTGATTTATTTCTCTGATTTTTTTTTGTCTTTAGTTAAGAAAAGTCTTCTAACCCTTGTGTGTATTTCTGATTTTAGGAAAGAAAAACTGTTCTTTGTTCCAGCAGGAAGTCTTCTCGAAGCGGCGTCCGAATTGAAATAGCTAGAGGTATTTCTTGTCTGTCATATTTTGTTCAATTTGTTCCAGGAGATTTATGTAAGTATCCCTTTGTTTCATTTTTGGTAGATATCCCAATCTGACCCCTTTGTTATTCAACTTATCCACGACCCAGCTCTCCAATAAATCCCTGAGTGCCGTACGCACAAGTATCGATTATTTTGCTTGCCCTATCTCAACCCCCTTAGTTTCTGTTCCTAATTGTCTACCCCCATAATCTTACCCTAAGGTAGGCAAAATATTATCGTTACAATTTCAGGTACCATGCAACGTAACAAGTAAAGTTATAAGAAACTAGAAATATTGTCCGAAGACTATTTGGAGGATTTATTGGCAGAAATACCCTCAGATAAGAAGTCATATGTCAGTTCAGGTTCCGATAGTGACTCCGAAGATTTACTAGTGATTCATCGAGATACTATTCTAGAAACACTCCACAAAAAAAATACAAATTCTATCAGACATCACCATATTATCAAGCATTAAATTAGGAGAATGATTATCAATCAAAAACGGAAATAAATATATAAGTGTTACACTTGTCCCTCCAAAGATTTTGAGAACAATTGAAAGTAGCGAAGATGAAGAGGATCGTGACGATGATGAGAAAACACGCAAGTTGCGATTTCCTCACTTAAAAAATGAGTCTTGTTAATTGGATGGATTAATTCAAGATTGTGAAGGCAAACCAATTAGGTTTGGTCTAAGTCCAGGGTCTAGGGTCTAGGGTCTAGGTCCCTGTGGCACCTAGAAATTTATAGTTATGCACTTTTCTTCACATTTAAGTAAATATTAAATTGGTTAACAGTATAATTTTATTTTACATTTATAAATTAGAGTAAGGATTCTAAAGTTCTACAAATCTTTTGAGAAGGTGTATACTACTATTATTTTAAAGTCCTAAAAATTATTAAATTTAACTTACCGCAGCCATGGAAATTCCAGCGATAATTAAGGCAAACCTCAAAGGTGTGGAGTCTGTATTTTTTTCGTTTCTTTTATCCCAAACTGCACAAACTATTAATATCAAAGTTGTAGTTATAATCGTCTCTATTGCTAATGCTTGCATTGCAGTAATTTTGGGATGTGGCAGTGTCATACAAAATCCATCTTTATAAAAATCAGTAGGCAATAATACCTAAAAGTATTAGAATATAGTAAAAATAACTTTAGTTTAAAATAAAAACTTACTTTCAGTAAGGCAAAACCTAGAGTAGCGCCTAAGAATTGAGCTGCAATATATACTATGGACATCATTGGAGATACGAGCTTCATGAATACTGCTGCAAATGTGACTGCGGGGTTTAAGTGAGCTCCTGATATGTGACCAAATGTCTGTAATTATAAAAAGAAAGTATTAATGGTAAAAAATTTTAATTTAACACAATATATCACATCATAGTTTCTGTCTACAATGGTAATATATTTTATAAGAGATCGAATCAGCAAAATGAACAAATTTTCACAATTACGTTAGATGTTGTTTACAAGATTCCTGAGTACGAAATAAATATTAAAATAATAGGGGCCTAATTTAATTACGTTACGTATATACTAAACCAGTGCTTCTCAAACTGTGCGTCGCGACGCCCTGGGGTGTCGCTGCGTTGTCCCAGGTGCGTCGCGTGTTAGCGGGGCTTTTAAAACAGAAAATATATTTATTTGATTTTAAATAAGTATTAAATAAATGTAGTAATAAATAAATATGATAAAAAATATAACATTAAGTCGATAGACCCTTGAATTATCCGAAATTATTCAACAAATTGTTTAATCCGAAAATTATCCGAGGGTCCACGGATTCCCGGACATTAGCAACACTCGATGAGTGAGCGCCGCAGGACACATTCTGTTTCGCTGCATGTTATGTCATTTAGTCAAGCTTTTTTTATTTTATTAGGCACGCGGAGTTTTTTGCTATCAACAATGGATACTTATATTAAAAAAAAAAAAAATGGGAAACGAAGTGAAGAATCAGGCGAGAGCAGTAATGTTAATTTAAGTAAAAACAAAAGAAATATAAGAAATATGACGACCAATATTTGGATTTTGGATTTACTTCCATTACTAAAGGGAATGCAGAACTTCCACAATGTGTGGTTTGTCACAAAATAATAGCAACAGGCTAAAAGTATGCTTTCTAATAAACTAAAACGGCATTTGGAATCAACTTGCAGTTATTTACAAGGTAAACCAAGAGAATTTTTTGTAAGACAATTGCGAAAGCTAAAACATCAAACCACGTCTTTGGTTTCAAGAGCATTAATTTCTACTAGACATTGCTCGTCTCTTACATGGTAGCTTACCGTGTTGTAAAATGGAAAAACCACATACGATCTCTGAGGAACTGATCGTACCTGCAGCGGTTGATATGGTAACAGTGATGATTGGAGAATCGGCACGGTTGCTAAAGAAATAAAAAATGTACCTCTTTCAAACAATACGGTTAGTCACCGTATTCACGACATAGCAGAATATATTAATGAGCAAATTGTGGAGAAACTTTCAGGTTTATTTGCCATTCAACTGGACAAGGCAACTGATAGTTATGATGATGCTCAATTAATATGTTAAGTACGGCACATACAAAAACAAATATATGTGAGGATTTCTTATTTTGCAGAAAAATATGTGAAAATTATAAAGCTACTGATTTATTTGAGATTTTAAACTCATAACTAACTAAAAATAATATTAACTGAGATAACTGTGTAGGCGTTGTACGGATGGTGCCCGAGTGATGTCTGGACAGTATGGAGGACTACAAGCTCTCATCAAAACCAAGGCTCCAAGTGTAAAATGGACACATTGTGTCATACATAGAGAGCCTTAGCAGCAAAGAGCGTTACACCTTAATTAAGTGTTCTGATGGATAGCATTATTCAAGTGGTGAACTACATTAAAACACGACCCGTGAAATCAAGACTTTTCCATATTCCAATCAGACTTCGTAAGAAATGTCGACCTAGCACACCTCTTTAATTTATTATTGCAACTCTTGTTGGCTGTCCAAATCAACGTACTCGCACCTGTATAGGAATTAAGAAATAAATTTTACACGTATCTACATACAGAATTACTTGATGATGGGCAAAACTTTATTACTTCAGAGTTTATAATAAAATTAGCATACCTCTGTGACATATTTAACAAATTAACTGATCTTAATAAGTCTTTACAGGGAAACAATACTCATATTCTGCAATTGGCAGATAAAATCACTGGATCACTGGGCTTCGGAAGCATTTGCTCATATGGAAGAGAAAATTAGAAGATCAAGAATTTGAGTGTTACCCTGCTTTACAGAGTGTTCTTCACGAAAAATCGATAGAAATCATTAATTCCTCTTTAAAAAATCATTGAGTTTAAAAGAATCATTTAGTTATCATTGAGCGAACACTTTCGGAAATATTTTTTCGAAAATATTGAGCAATACTACTGGGTCAAAACCATTCCAAACTCAGTTTTGTCATTCCAGACTAAAGCTTTAATATGACAAGGACAAACTATTTGAATTTTGGAGCTCACTTTTTAACGAAAATCATGCCATCAGCACTGCTGCATTAAAGGTTTTACTAACATTTGCCACTTCGTACTTGTGCGAGACGGGGTTTTCTGCAGTTGCAGTAATTAAAAATAAGTACAGGTCAAGCATCAACTTAGAAAAAGAAATGCGAGTGGCAATTTCCACACTGGAGTCCGGTTTCATAAGCTGTTCCAAAAAAGCAAATACATCCCTCACATTAACCAGCCAGTTACATAAATAAATATCCATTTTCATTTTTGTACCTATGTCTTGCTTTCGTTCCTATTTTCTAATAAAAAATATAAATGTTCAAATTGTGTTTTTGTTATATCGATAACCTGTTGCTAGGCTATTACTAAAATTGGTAAGTATTATTGGGAGTTTCGTTGATGGGGCGTCGCAAAAATTAGCAGAGTCCCAAGAGCAGTTACAGTACGAATAAGTTTGGGAAGCCCTGTACTAAACGAGAGAAAATAGTCGCAAATGTTCTACAGTCGGAATCACATAAAAAAATATTCTTCTGCACGTGTCGATCCTCTGTGGATGTCGTCATTTTCGCCCTTTGCCTAATAATATTAAGACATGGTGTTCTTTGGTGACCTTCAGATTTTTGCCTTCTATGTGGCCTTGATTAGATTAAAATTAGCTAGATTAATCACTGCTGACGCAGATGAGCAGAAATATTGAAGAATTCTACCATCAAATAGAAAAAGTGCTAAAAATAACAAAGAAACACGAAGCAATAATAATTATGGGTGACTTAACGCTAAAGTTGGACAGAAGATGACGCAGGGCATCACCAGAAAGTTTGGCTTGGGAGAGAGAAATCAAAGAGGTGAACGGCAAATAGAATTCTGCCAAGAAAATGACTTCGCCATTACAAATACCTGGTTTCAACTTCCAGAAAAAAACGTCTTTACACGTGGAAATCCCCTCAAGATGGACATCAAGGCAGAATAGTACGGAATCAAATAGACTACATCCTAATAAACCACCGATTTCGAAACAATATTAAAGATGTAAAAACTTATCCCCGTGCTGACATAAACTCAAATCACAATTTACTCTGCTCCAAAATACAAATTAAATTGAAGAAATTAACAAAGCCAACTAAGCCTTGTAAGATATATCTCGACACCCTGAAAAACCCTCAAACGCGCGAACACATATCACAGCAAATAAATAGTAAAATACACAGAACATCAAATATACCAAACGAAAAGAACCATTAACGAATGCTGGTATGCCATTCAAAACTCGATTTTAGAGAACGTACAAGAGTCTTTGAAAACACCTACCATGTTGGCAAAAAATGAGTGGATGACACAAGAAATTCTAGATCTGATGGAAGTTCGACGGCAACACAAAAATAGAAATATTATCGAATATCGTGAAATTAATCAATGCATAAAAAAAATTAAGCAAGCCAAAGAATCCTGGCTTGAGAATTTATGTAAAGAAATAGAAGACCTCCAAAAAAAGCATGACAGCTTCAACCTGCATAAGAAACTTAAATATACTGCCGGAATTAGAAAACAGAAAAATGCTCACATACTTAAAAGCGTGGACGGAAAAATTTGTGATCACGAACAACAGTGCAAAGAATGGGAGAGATACATCACTGACCTTTTTGACGATGCTTCTAGAGAAAATGCTCCAAATACTGCCTGTGACAACCAGTTGGACAGAGGTCCCAATATACTGAATTCGGAAGTCGAAAAGGCAATACAGCAAGCCAAAAATAATAAAGCACCTGGACCAGATCAAATCCCTGCCGAACTACTTAAACTTTTGGATGAGGAAAGCATTGCCTGCTTAACCACTTTCTTCAACAAAATTTACAACGAAGGAAAAATACCAGATGATTGGTTAGAGTCACTGTTTATAACATTACCAAAGAAAAGCAGGCCCACCAAATGCAGCGATTTTAGACTAATCAGTTTGATGAGTCACACACTGAAGATACTCTTACGAATTATACAAAACCGAGTATTCCTTCTATGCGAAAGTAAGATGGGTGATAAGCAATTTGGATTTAGAAACGGTCTAGGAACTAGAGAGGCACTATTCTGTATGCGCGTTCTATTACAAAAAAGTTGTGAATTCCGAAAGAATGTTTATGTTTGTTTCATCGACTTCGAGAAGGCGTTCGACAGAGTCCAACACAATACACTTTTCGACTGCCTACGGGCAGCAGGACTTGACCACTATGATATAAGACTGCTGAAATACTTATATTACAATCAAGTAGCCTCTATCCAAATTGGAGACAGTCCCACTGAAAAAATACCCATCAAACGTAGAGTACGGCAGGGTTGTGTTTTGTCACCCACTCTTTTTAATCTGTACTCTGAAGAAATCTTTAGGGAGGCTTTGGATGACAGACAAGAGGGAGTAAGACTAGGTGGAGAAGTAATCAACAATATTAGATACGCTGACGATACAGCCATTCTTGCAGAAAGTTTACAAGATCTCCAAACATTACTAAATCTAGTCAGTGAAGCAAGTTATCGGAGAGGCCTAAAAATCAACATTTCAAAGACAAAGTGGATGGCAGTTGGAAAGATCCATATAGATCAAGGTCTGCTTTCTCTTAATGGAGAAGAGATAGAAAGGGTAAATCATTTCAAATACCTTGGCAGCTGGTTAAATGTAAATTGTGACTCTGATGAAGAGATAATATCCAGGATCGAAATATCACGTAAGGCTTTTATGACCTGGAAACCAGTTTTATGCAACAGAAACCTGTCAATGAATATTCGTAAGAAGGTCCTGAAATGTTATGTGTGGTCGATCCTATTGTATGGTT